AATTCCCCTCCCAATTAGCTGAGCATAAAGTACAACTGGATGAATCCTTTAAACTTATATAAAGATAAAGCTCTGCTGATAGAAGCTGAAGTCCCAGGTTGAGGAAAGCTGTAGTAGATTGATATTTGGGAAGTTTTGGAGTTCTGAAAGACACAGGCTGTAAGTAGAACCCTTTTACATCTTAGCTTGCTCAAGCCTGACAGTCAGAGCTGAGTGAACCTTTGGCCTTGACTTCATGAATGGAAGCTGGATTTCCAGGTTTGAAGGGAGCTGTGGCTCAGCCACTTTGAAATAAATGATTCACTGTATGTACAAAAGACTGGAAAGCTATTGTGCAACAAAATAAACTGAACATTTTGAAAGCACAATTTGATAAGGAAGGTTTAACCTATTTTGACCTGTGCCCATTCTTCTGTTTCTGGACCAAATTCTGGAGCTTGTGATGGGTGAACCAGTCTAGAGCTTCTTTTCCATGTCACCTTCTGACCTGGTTCCTGCACTGCTTTTGAAAAGCAGTTTGGTGTTGTTGTCAGAAGTCCTCTTCCCACTCCCACCCCAATGATTTATCGCCTTAGGAGACTTTCTCCCTTTCGTGCAGGCTACACATTATTTACTGATCCATGCATCTGCTCTTTCCTTGTTTGACTGTGTCAGGATTTCAGATCTGCAAAAATGAATGTCTGGATCCAAAAGGGAGCCTACAATTCAGCAGCAAAGAAGAATTCCTAAATTACAATAGCATTGAGAGGTAGCCAGTTTAAGACTGACTACGAGGAAACAGAATGTACTCAAGTGTTTATGGAGTTGATGTCATGTATGCATGGCAAGGAAAAGAATGAGACTTGGAATTAGATGCAAGAGGAACCTCCGTAGGAAATGGGTACTGGGGCAAATAGACAAAAGGGTATACCAGGAGGAGGAGGCCCGTTGCAGAAGGATTCATCACAAGGCTAAGGCGGATTACAAGCTGAGACGTGCCAAGAATATCAAGAGTGACAAAAAGGGCTTCTGTCAGCATGTAAATAGGAAGAGGAAGGGGAGACAAGTGGTGGGGCCACTAAATAAGGAGGAAGGGGATCCAGTGACTGATGTGAGGGAAAAGGCACAGATGCTAAATGACTATTTCCCCTCTGTGTTCTCCCCAAAGCAGGATGGGGGAGATCCGCATGGGAAATTAGATAAGGACAGGGACTTAGGGGCACAGACAAGAGTCACCCCCCTAGAAGTCGAGGGGCTCCTCAGGGCACTGGATGTTACAAAGGAACCGGGCCCTGACAGTTACACCTGAGAGTACTTCAAGAGTTGGCAGGGGTTCTCTCATGCCCGCTGGCTTCCATTTTTGAGGCCTCGTGGAGAACAGGTGAAGTTCCAGAGGACTGGAGGGTAGTGTCAGTGGGCCCAATTTTCAGAAAGGGTAGCAGAGAGGACATGGAGAATTACAGAGCAGTTAGCCTTGTGTCCATTGTAGGAAAAACAATGGAAAGGCTCATAATAGAGAGAGATCTAGTGATGCTAGATAGGAAAGGGAGGCTGGCAGCCCCACAACATGGCTTCCGCAAAAACAGGTCCTGCCAGACAAACCTTGTGGAATTCTATGACAAAGCTTTGAGGTGACTAGATGGAGGGGATGCAGTGGATGTGGTTTACCTGGATTTCAGCAAGGCCTTTGACTAAGTGCCCTATGATATCCTGGTGGAGAAACTGAGGAGTTTTGAGATAGATCAGTGCACTGTCCGATGGATTAGGGCATGGTTGACTGACTGAAAGCAGAGGGTAACCATTAATGGGGAATCATCAGAATGGCACCCAGTGACAAGCGGGATCCCCCAGGGCTCTGTCCTGGGGCCAATCCTGTTTAATCTTTTCATCAATGACATGGAAGAAGGGGTGAACAGTCTGCTGATCAAATTTGCAGATGACACTAAAACTGGGGCAGTGGCCACAACTGAGGAGCAGGAACTCCAGATCCAGAAGGATCTGGACAGACTATGGAAGTGGGCAGGAGACAACAGGATGGCATTCAGTGTGGATAAGTGCAAGGTCTTGCAACTGGGGCATAGGAATGGGTGTCATAAGTACAGGTTTGGGGACAAGTGGCTGGAGAGCAGCACCTGTGAAAGGGACCTCGGGGTGCTGGTTGACTGCAGGCTAAATATGAGTCAGCAGTGTGATGCGGTGGTCAAGAGGGTGAACGCCACCCTTGGTTGCATGGCCAAAAGTGTGGCTTCTAGTTCGAGAGAAGTATTACTGCCACTCTAAAATAATCTGGTGCACCCACAGCTGGAGTATTGTGTCCAGTTCTGGTCCCCACATTACAGGAGAGATATACCCAGGTTGAAATTAGTGCAGCGTAGAGCCACAAGGATGGTGGGTGGTTTGCAGTGAGACTGAGGAAACTGGGTCTCTTCAGCCTGGAGTAGAGGGGCCTCCGAGGGGATCTGTTGGAGACATATAGATATGTGAGGGGATGTCACACGGAGGTGGGTAGAGACCTGTTTTCCCCTGCAGAGGAGGGCAGGACGCGCTCTAATGGAGCAAAGCTCAGGGAACCAAGGTTCAATTTAGATGCCAGGATGAACCTCCTGACGGTTAGGACCCCTAGGGCATGAAATGGACTTCCACGGGATGTGGTGGAGGCCCCATCAGTGAGGATGTTCAACAATAGACTAGACATGCACATGGTAGGCATGTCGTGAGAGGAGTCGGCTAGAGCCGAGGGTCAGACTAGATGGTCCGGGAGGCCCCTTCTGACTCTCTGTTTCTATGAATTGGTGATATGCAAGTACAGTATAGAAGCATACAAGGACAATGTGGAAATGTGGTGTCCTGCAACAGCAGGAGGTTGGACTTGATGGCCTTCATGGCCCCTTCCAAATCTACTATTCTTTGATTCTATGATTCTAATACAGAAACATTGAGAAATCATCAGGGAAGCATTGGAAAAACATCACCACACATCAAGATCTTGAGTGACAGATAAAAAAAAATAAAACAATCAGATGTTCCAGAATTTAACAGGTCTCGATGCTTGGTGTTTACTTTCTGAGGTAGGAAATTCCAGAAAGACAATGAGAGAGCTGAGAAGCAGCTGGCAGACTTGCTGCCAATCCGCTGCAAGAGAGGTTGCATTTGCAACAGTATCTGTTTGCATATCTTGGGGCTTGTCTCCTTTTCCCTGTAGAGGGAACCTGAATACAAGCACCCCACAGATTTTCTGTATTCCAAAATATAAAGCTGTAGGATGACTGCTGCAATGCAGTTCATGTAGGATTGCCCTTGAAAACAACTCTGAAACATCCATGGTGCAGGGAACTCTCTCATTGTCTCATAGGTAGTAGAAGGCATACCTGTATTCAGCCTGTCCTGCTCCACTTGCCCCGGTTCCCAACTTACATCAGGTTCAAGTTAATGCTGGCTTTAATCTTTAAAACCTTACATGGCCTGGGACCCTCAGATATCAAGGATTATTCTCCCTATATGAGCTCACTCAACTTTTGAGATCAGTCAATACCCCCCCACACTGCCCCCGTACCATCTTTGCAACAAGTCAGAACAGTGATAACTGGAGTCAGGTTTTCACAGTGCTTGTGTGAAAGAAGCTAGAACAGGTGCTTTTGTGCTTTCTCTGTGTTTTGGAGGAGAGAGGATCACTTGGGCTAAGAGTCCTCAACTTGCACCGTGAGCACTGCTTTTCTCCTTTCATTTCTTTCCCCTCCCCACTCAATACCAAAGTCAATACCAAATTGACTTGCTATTTTCCTACAACCTGTTCCTCCCTCATTCTCTCCCCTCTCTGCCTCTGCTGGGCTCTCTGCACAGGTCACCTCATTGTTTCTTCCCTTTCCAGCCTCCAGCCCTACTTTTTCCTTCCCACCTTGTTCCCTGGCCATTTCCCCCTCTCCCTACCTCACTCTTTCTCTCCCTTTTGGCCCTTTCTCTCACTGTATCACCTTCCTTCCCAGGCACACACACACACGTGTGTGTGTGTGTCAGGGGGGTGGCATGATTGAGTCCGGAGTGAAGGCAGGGAAAACTTTTCCTTTTCTTTAGGTCTGGGGGAAAGTGTACATGTGGGCATGTATAAGGTGGGTGGGGCAGACCTGTGTAATCATACTCAGACATAATCTCTATGGGGAGGGGGGCCACTTAAGCATGATCAGGACTATACCCTTAAGTAGGCAATTTGTTGTGCTTCTGTAGAGTCACATATAGGACTTGGCTTCAGGGTCTAGGTTGTTTCTCTTCTTATACTCAGTTTCTTGCATAAATTGCTTGTCTGTTTGCCCATCACGGCAGCCATTACATGATTAGCCACTTCTTCTGTGGGAGCCTTTTTCGGTGGTGCCCACAGAAGCGTCTCAAATTCCCTTACATGTCCATGGCTCCAAAGAGCTTGAGGACCCCTGGCAGAGGGCTGGCCCTTCTCTATCCTGAACAGAATCATGTGGTGGAATAAGCACTTACAGTGTGATCCTTTGAACTCAGAAGCAAGGGCTGCTGTGTTGAATCTAAGTTAGTCTAAGAGTGTGTGTGTATCAGATTGCAACCCAGGTAACCCATTCAGCTTTCTAACACAGCAAAACCCTGAGTGGGTTGTGATCATTTTGTTTTCTTGTCTGTATTACATTCATAGCCACCCTTTCTTCTAAGGCGATCTAGACCAGACCGTGTAGATGAAAGGATAATGTGGGATAACAAAGCATTGGGAAGGGAGGAGGAGAAGTGAGGAGTGGAGAGGCTGGAGAGAGACATTATAAGCTGGGCAGGCTGTGAGTCAGTGCCTGATTTTCAGAGCTGGTTTACACTGCCCAGCTCCTGTCTCCTCAGACTGCACAGAGCATGTGAGAGAGACCAACATCCACAGCTGCTATTCTCGAGGACTGTCCTCCACATCCTTGCCCTTCTGACAGCCAAGCTGAGGAGTACCCACTCCTCCTCCCCCCCACCTCCCACTTCGTGGTTGCCTTTGCTTCAGAACTTTCTCTGTTTTCAAAGGGGACATGGAGAAGCACTATATCTCCAAACTTCATGCAACAGGAGATTATGGGGCAGGCGTGTTTCTTCTGATTATAGGTAAGTTCTGCCTCTGCGGTCATTTATGCCTGCTCAGTGAGAGGATCTCTATTGCTGTAAGATTTACACCCCCTAAACTGTTCATTGATATAAATTCAACTGCTGATCTCCTAATGTGGATCTAGGCCTTCACATTACAGGAAGGATATAGCCAGGTTGAATCGGTGCAGCATAGGGCCACAGGGATGGTGGCCAGATTGCAGGGAAAGCTGTATGAGGCGAGACTGAGGGAGCTGGGTCCTTTCAGCCTGGAGAAGAGGAGACTCTGAGGGGATCTGTTGGTGACATACAGGTATGTGAGGGGGTGTCACACGGAGGTGGGTAGAGACCTGTTTTCTCCTGCAGAGGAGGGCAGGAGGCATTCCAATGTAGCAAAGCTCGGGGAACCAAGGTTCAATTTAGATGCCTGGAAGTGCTTCCTGACGGTTTGGACCCCTAGGCTATGGAATGGGCTTCCACGGGAGGTGGTTGAAGCCCCATTGGTGAGGGTGTTCAGGGATAGGCTAGACATGCACATGGTAGGCAAGTCATGAGTGGAGCCGGCTGGAGTCAGGGGTCAGACTAGATGGCCCAGGAGCTCTCTTCAGACTCACTCTGTTTGTTTGTTTCCTGTTTTGGTACTGTGATCTTTGATTTTAATATCCTTTGCCCTCAGAGGCATCAAGGGTCAGTTGAGTGTAGATATTTTGTGTCATTTTGTGTTGGGTGTAAATTTGCTTTTCATTGGATCAAACATCTAGAAGCAGGATTTCTGTGACCTAGAGACAGCATCTGAGGGCAATTAGATATGTTGGAGTCCCAGCTCTGAAGTTGGAGAACACCTTTGACTCTGGGCTGAGGACCTCCGCCCACCCTGAGTCACAAAACTTCAGAAGGTGTCAAGGGCAGTCCAGGGGACCGGTGAGAAGAGACCAGCACCTCAGAGATGTGAGGTAGCCTGGTGGTACCTCAACTGCCTTCCCATCCGCTCTGAAACACTGCGGTTAGACAGCTGAAATTTTTGCAGAGCAGGAGAAGCACAGAGGTGACTGGAGGGTTATGGATATCCTCATAGGATTGCACCCTTAGTTGCCTGCTTTACTTATGCTTTACAGAAAGTTGCATACATGATATAACAGACTATCTAAAATCCAGCTTGGCTTCACCAGTGAACAGAGGTATGCATTGTTATATGCTGTTTGGAAGCAGGATACAGATACAAGAAAAGCCAGTATCTGCTCATAAATGGTTTGGGAGAGAGCAAGACAGGTATTTCTTGTGGCCCTGTTATACAGAAAGGAACAGTTGCTCAAGATTGAGTCAAGGTTGTCAATAAATGTGTTGCTCCTCTCCCCCTCCAGCCCAGGCATGGAAGTTTTAGTGCAAGAGTTTTGTCCTATTTTCTGCAGTTCACACTCAGCATTGTCAGCGTCCTTTTCATTGTCTGCTTCATGTCAATGAATTTGGGTGCTGAAGTCAAATCAGATGTATGGCTGAATATTACAGGCTTTTTGTGTCTATTAGATTACTGTACATGCAAAAATGGTTCATATTTTTTAGCATACATTGTGTAGGTATGCTACATTATAGTCAAGGTATTTGAGGGATGCTCTGCAAATCTGAGTGCCAGTTGTTAGAGAAAAGAAAAGGGAGACTGAGAATTAGTGAAGCTGCAGATGGGAAAAAAAGTTGCTGGCAATATGATTTTTACCTACACAAAATAGACATTAAACTAGTAGGCTGTTTAAGCTTGGGTTCTGCTTTGTTCAGTGAGCATCAGCTAGACTGAGTGTTCTGAAGTAAACTCGATAGCAAACTTATTTTTTGCAGTTCTATCTGTATTTATTTAACTTACATTTTTTTCTTCTGCAGCAAAAACTAATGCATGTTCAATTGCCCAGTGTAGCGTTCAGCCATCTCAGAGTGTCCACCTCCCTGTGGCTTCCTGAACTCACTCAGGCAGTGACTCAGTCAGACAGCCGTTTATGTAGGTTTGGAAAGCGGAGAGTGGGGAATGGAGTTATAGAAGGAAGAAAGGGGGAAAGGAAAGGGAATCACAGCAGGCAATACAGCAGTGGCCCAAGGCCAGATGCAACCCCCTCTCCACAAACTCCTTGTTGCACCACAGAGGAAGGAAACTAGCCCTCAGCTAACTCTTTTCCTATCGTAGATCGTTCTTTGTAGACATGTTGGTTAGGGAACAGCACCTCTTTCTAGGTAAGCACCTGGTAGAAGACAAAGGATGCTTTTGGTCCCTGGGTTTTTCAGTCCTGCTCATGCCTTCTGATCAGTGGGATGATGTTAAATTTCCAATGTCAGGGTACTAACTTTCCAGCTGTTGGCAATCACATTGTCGTTGTCCAGAGCTGACAGTTCCCATCCTGGCATCCTTAAGTCTATCTGTGGCAATAGTGCCCAGGTGTAAATTGCTCCTAAACACTGACAACTTAAATTTTATTGCAGTATAAATCACTCCTTGGCCTGGGTGATTTGAATTCCCATCCAGCTTGGGTTGGAGTTAACCTCTTTGTGACACAGTAATTAAGCCATTTGAACACAGCAGCTGCCATCCATATATGTGTTCTGGTAATAGAGGTTTTGACAGCCAATCCAAAATGGAGTTGTGCACTGAAGACCATTGTTGATTTCAGCAGGATGAGAGGCGGTAACTTGGTGGATGGTGGAGATTGTTTAGGTTGTATGATTTTTCCATCAAACTGTAGCAATTGGTGGTCATGGTGTTGGTGTCTTGCAGGATAACGCAGTGCACTGAGTTGTTGACTGCAACCATACTTCTAGTGTTTTGTTTTGTTTTTTGCTTCAGCAATCTTAACAATTCTGGGGAACTCCGCTGTCCTAGCTGTAGCTGTGAAGCGCTTCTGCCGCCTCAAGTCCCCCGAACTACTCACAGTTAATTTAGCAGTAACAGATCTGGGAATGGCCATCAGCATGTACCCTCTGGCCATCGCTTCTGCCTGGAACCATGCCTGGCTAGGTGGAGATGCCTCCTGCATTTATTATGCTCTGATGGGCTTTTTCTTTGGAGTCTCCAGCATGATGACCTTGTCTGTAATGGCTGTGATACGTTTTCTTGTCGCCTGCTCATCCAAGTCTAATAGTAAGTAACCAAGGATGCAGGGATGGTGAAATGCAGCAATTACAAAGCTTTTAACTAGGTATTGAAGGACTTCATTCTTTAAAGGAAACTTTAGGAGAGAGAATCAGATGGGTGGGATGGGGTGGGGTGGAGTGATTGCTATATTCAGTGTTACTGCAATTAACAATGGAAATCTATGCGTAAGTATAGCTGCAGCTCTTTTTGTGCCCGTAAATGTAAACTGACATTTACCAAAGACAATCAGAAAAGTATTACATGCAATATATTTTCAGGGTTTACATGGATTAAAAGCGATCGCTGTGTAAGGAGTTAGTATGGAAACTACCTGCTGCTGGTATGGACAACACCATTCTAGTGTGCACTGGCTACCTAACTCTGCTGCCTGCCACAGATAGCTGCTCATGAGTTGTCACAAACTACAGCAACCACATATGCACTCTTGTGCATCCATCTGTGCATGCAGCCCAGTATGTTTCAAGATAAAGGAAATCAGACTTGGATGAAACATTACAAGCAAAATTCTATGCTTGGTCATACAGAAAAAACCCCTACAATTCCTAGCATTCCTCAGCTGGCAATCACCACAGGATCTTTTTTGCACAGGAGTATGCATGCATAGGAATGTGCCCTAAGGAACTTTCCCCCACTGTCTCAGTAATGAAATCACACAAATATCTTGCTAAGAGGAAAGACAGCTTAGGCAGAGCAAAACAGGGCACCAAGTGTAGTAGGTGTTATCAAATGCACTTAATGCTATAATGTCTTATCAAAAACTTCTTGAGAAATATATTCATTCACACACACACACATATGCTGGGACCTAGCTCAAAGTCTTTTATGTGGGAAAATTATAGACACAATATAACTTGTCTAAGAGCATGACCATGATCTGTACGTAACCTTGGTAGAGGGTCATAGCCTGATGACAGAGCGCATGGTTTGTACGCAGAAGGCCTGATTCCATCCACACCATTTCCAGATAAGTTAGGATGGTCTGAAACCTTGTAGAGCTGTGCCTATCCATGTAGAAAAGACTGAAGGAGTTGGAGAAGGATCTGAGTCAATACAGGGCAACTTGCTGTGTTATTGAAATAGTATTGGTACTATTTGGTACTATCAGATGTCATTTTCCCCCACCAGGTAATCAGATCAGCAAGAAAGTCATATATATTTCTATCACATTGATTTGGCTCTATGCAGCACTTTGGGCCATCTTGCCTTTGCTGGGCTGGGGACATTATGGTCCAGAACCCTTTGGTACTTCCTGCACCATAGCATGGAGCCAGTTCCACCACTCAGCCAATGGATTTTCGTTCATCCTGAGCATGTTCATTCTGTGCACTATTCTGCCAGCGATGACCATCATCATCTGTTACTTGGGTATAGCCTGGAAGGTTCATAAAACGTATCAAGGAATGCAGAATTTCAACAGGATTTCAGGTGCAGCCAAGCTGGAGAAGAGGTTGACACTGGTGAGTAACTGCTGTGGTTAGGATTTATAAGAACATTGTCTCTTTTAGAATTTCTCTGGCTCGGGCATTGATCCTGTATCCACAGCCTGAAAATTATTTAATTTAAAAATTGGGTAAAGAGTCAATGTAAATTGGGAAGTGATGGGTCTGGCTAATTATTTTGGGCATGTGTTCATGTACTTTTTGAATTGGATGTTACATTTTGTCAGACACACAGGAACTCCCGCAAAAGCCTCCACCCTACTGGCGCTACCATGAACATTTATTGCCATACAGGCTGATGGCCACTTTTCATGATAAAAGCAGTTATGGTGTGTCTTGCCATATGTGAGTTCGCAGAGGGCAAGTTTGCACATCATGACATCCCATCATGTGGATAAGCGATGCAGCGTGGGTGCCTTGCAGACCCTACCATGGTCTTACCTCCTTACCTCCCTTGCAGTCCTCCGGGAAGTTTCCTAGTGTCCTGTGAAGCAGAACCTGGCTTGTCTCTACCTCCCCGCTCTGACTGTGCCCCATTTTTGTTAGCAGCCTTTTTGTTTCTGGAGCCTTGTGCCCCAGTCAGTAACCTTGGCTCCACTGTTGTCCAAGAGGCACTTCGGAGTGACCACCATTGCCTCCTTACCTAACCCTAACCCTTGTTTGGGCAGCACAGAGGTGTGCAATTTCATTTGTACTTTAAAAAGGAGTCCTTCTCAGGTGTGTAGTTATATGAGATAGCTGCCCAAAGTATAGACCCTTCCCTGGCCAATATCCTGCTTAATATCTGCTGTCAAATTACAGTAAACAACATCCATGGGACACTGACCAAGTGATAGTTGACAGTTGCCATTTCTGAACTGTCAATTGAAAAGCAAGGCATTGAAGATTTTTTCCCTTTTGGGGGTGATCCTCACTCCCCTCCACCTTTTCCACACTTTCCCCAATCCTTAAATAATCTGGAAAGGGAATATCTACATCCTGCCATCCCTTTCATCAGCAGTTTCTTTTGACAGCTATCAAAAGAAAGGATTCTTCTTTCAACCTACCTAGCAAATTTAAGCATTTATTTTAGACAGAGAAGTATACATAGATTGCATGTGCTATGCTGCCCCCCCCCCACCCCAAATGGGAAGAACCAGGAGCCAGTGATGTTGCTTGGGCACTGAAGCAGCTCTCACTGGCAGTAGCCCAGGCAAGATTTTCACAATGAGCAAGGGGCTTTTGCCACTCTTGCTGAGCAGCCTGTTTGCTGGTGACCACAACCCCTGATGGCATTGATTTCCTGAGTTCAGATATGACAATCCATCATGGGTTTATTAAACCACAAAGCAAGCTATCTGTGATCATGGTAGCTCATTATCTAAAAAAACTAGCCACCCTGTTGCAAGCGGTCATATGATCCCATCATAGATACCACAGTGAGTCACCGTGTCAGAGGAAACATGTTCTATGTACATTTCTGTTCAATAAGATGTTAAAGATGTGGTGTGGAAGAACCATTCTGTTCAACTTGCCTAAGGCGATGATACGAAATAGGTGGTCTTCTAGTAAGATACAGAGCATCCAGAAACACAAGTTTGTTCTTAATTTCTGACCCCAAATTATCATGTGTTATCTTATGCTACTTTCAGAGGATGCTGTTTTCTGCACTTAGGGTGAAGAAATACATGGACTGTTCATTAAACACAGAAGAATTAGTCAGTTTTCCTTATTGCTCAGAAATGATGTGTTGAGGGAGAAAATCAAGGGTAGTCAATAACTATATGTGGCTTTTTTCAGATGGCTCTACTGATCAGCATAGGATTCCTTGGTGCATGGACACCGTATGCTGCAGTCAGCATCTGGTCAATATTCCATTCCAGCGATTCGATTCCACAATTTGTTACCTTACTGCCCTGTCTGTTTGCTAAATCTTCAACAGCCTACAACCCTTTCATTTACTACATTTTCAGCAAAACTTTCCGGCATGAAGTTAAGCAACTCCAATGCTGTTGTGACCAGAAAGTTCATTTCTTTAACACCAAGAACTCCATCAATAGCCATGTGTCAGTAATGTGGTCAGGCAGAGCCAATGTACACATTTCTTGCAGAAAGACAGATAATGGAGAAGTTTCAAATCAGTAAGTAGCAACAGCTTTGCAAATGTGGATCAGGTCTCAATCTCATGCTAAAACTCTGCAAAGGGTGTCAATCATTGTTCTCAGGATGAAAGATTTCAAGAAATTAAACAAAAACCAAAACAAAACAAAAAACACCTTTAACAAGCGAGAAACAAAGACTTTTACCACAGAGACCAAATTAGTTTCTGCAGTAGTAATAATTCTGTCATAGGAAATAGCAATGCAGTTAGAAAACTGAGAACTCTGTGTAATTTTGATTTTTTCATTTTTATGTTAGTTTGTGTTTTGCTCAGGGGTGAAGGATGGGAGCCCAGGGCTCTCCTTAAAGGATACGAAACTTCTTTGCAGTCGCCTACCTATGACTGCAGAGAACAAGAACCGAACAAGGGGTGTCCTCACCCTCAAGAAGAACCCCCAGTGAAAGATTCAGTGCCATTAGTAGCATGGGCCTAATGTTGCATGAGTAAATTTGTGTGTAAATTTAACTCCAAGCAAAGTTTATTGTAAGGAAAAGCAAAATCACTTTTGTTTAAAGAAATGAGAGGAACCTTGTTAAAGGAAGACTGCGGTGTCCTGGGACCAGCAGGTAACTCCATCTGAAGGTGCAAGGCCTGGTGCATGCAGCAGTACATACTGGTAGTGGCTGCCCCGGCGGACAGTCTCCTCAGATCTCCAGTGCTCCTGATGCCTTAGGAGGGCCTGGCTGAGGATCCTTTGTGTTGGGCTTCTTTGCAGCTTGTCTGTGTCCTTAGGGGAGCACAGCTTTTACTCAGCACATTGTGTGCAACCTCCGCATTGAAATAGTGCTAGCATGACCCAAAAAAGTGGTGTGACCGATGGGAGTTTCCCCCATTTTCACCCCTAAGCATACAGTCTGGGTTTTGATAAAACAAAGTAAAAGATTAAGAATTCAGGAAAAATACAGGATTGGGGAAGGTTGGTCAGATTCTGAGCACACAACAGTTGGAAATGAGTGCCAGAAGACAAACATAAGGGGAAAATACTGTCTAGTTGGTACAGCTCTGCAGAAGTTGTCTGCCTGGCTCACTGAAGACCCACTATGTCCATGGCAAAGTCCTCCTCATACCTGTGTCAAGTCTTCTCCCCTTTGGATACCTGTCTTGGAACAACTTCTCCTAGTGCTGAAAGAGAAATACGCTCAACACTTGTTTCCTGTGCAGTTCTGGTCCCCCCCCCCACCTGGGTGGAGATTCCAGAAGAATCTGACACGTGCTTTGCCTGCTGACTGTCCAATAATTGCTCATCCCCAGCTCTGAGATAGATTCAGGAAGATTCTTTGTTGTTTAAGTGCACGGGCCATTTCCTATTCAATAGGTTTGCTAAGGGGAGGCAACTGGTTTACATATGACCTCAGCCAGGCCATCTGCCTTGGACTGCAGGGCTCGGTGCCCTGCCCTTTCCCTCAAGCCCTTTCCCTCTCTGCAGCTGTTTGCAAAAGGGAGGGTTCTGTCTCTTGAACCTGCATAAGATGGAGTGACTGTGTGGATCACTCCAGGCCAACCACATGACAAGGGGAACATTTTTTCTTACTGCCTTGCTACATGGTGTTGGTGGCTTTTGCCAGGTGGAAAACAATTAAAAGAAAACAAATCCAGAATCAACTCCCTTCTGGAAGAGAGGGGAAAAATGGATGCTTCTCAAAATAAAGCCATCTCTATGGTGTATGCCATCCTGGTATGAACTCAGTTATATTCCTTCTCAGATGTTTATCTCTAAGGGAGAAGTTGAAGGAACAGGCATTTTTTCCAAACATAGCTGTGCACAGAAGACCCATTATAATTTTTCACTCTACTTGTGGAGAGAAAAAATTAAGGATTGCTTAACTGAATTTCACCTGAGGAAGAAACACTGTCCAACAATTTCTTGGAGGTGAAGCTCAGCAGTCTTTCCTTCCTAAATGCCTTGGTGTTATTTTGTTTTGTACCATCCACTTGAAGTAGCAATAGCAGCAACTGCATTGGCAGTGTGGCTACCATTTGTATCCACCACAGTGCCCCATGCCTGGTGTCATTATAGGGCATTATGTCTCTGTGGGGGATTACCATGGCTACCATACTGAAAGTGAAGATCTTAGAAAGAAAATAAAATAGAAAGAAAAATCAGATAACTTTTCAAAGAGAATTATCTTCTGAGGAATTTGGCTCAACTTTTGACACTTCTTCAGTGTCCCCAAACATTAAAGTTCCAAGGGATGATTGCGGACACTACTTGTGTCTAAAAATCTGCTTTTTCCACACAAGGTATAAGAATGTTATGTCAACTGAAGCTTGTGTCCTGCCAAAATCTGTCCTCCAATTTCCCAGTAGTTTTTTTCCTGTGCAAAAGAGGCTTCTGTTTTACTGCCTTATTTTTAAGAGGCTGTAGGCACTCTTTTGGTGGCATTATTGAGCTCACTCTATCATTGTGAGTGCTGTGTGTATTCTTTCTATTACACATCTGTCCATTGTTCTACAGCCTTCATGGATGCCCACACTTCTTGATCTGAAAAGCCTCATCACCGCTTCCCCTGGCCTTTTACTGAAGTGTGCGAAGGCCACAGACCACTGGAGAGGCGTTCACACTTTGAAAGGCAGGACACAACACATGCTCCTCAGCCACTTTCTAAGATAAGCGCAAAAGCACTCTATGCCTCCATGAGGGTTTTACCAAATGGTCTTCTCCTCTGAACATTTTAAACTGATTTCTGCTTTATCAGACTGAATGAATCTAAGTATCTGTGAAGAGTCCCATGGAGGAGGTGAAAATCCAATGGATAGTCCCAGCTTGGCCTCACAAATTTCGTTCTGTCAACCCTGTGTTGGCACTAACTCCATCTTATATGAGTCCTGTCAGCACATGGATTTCCATTTATGTAATTTGTTTTTAAGCCAGGAAAGTTTGCATACATTTCAGGCTCTACTCCAGAAATTTGGGTAGATTGCAGCTCTGCTTTGCAACTGCACAAAAAGTGAAGCAGAGCCTGAAATGCAAACATGTTGGGGAGCAGAGCCCAAAATTTGCACAAACTGAAATTATCTGTCAGAACATTCAAGGTGGCTAAGGTGAAGTGTGTGCATATACAGCAAGAAGATACTTCTGTATTGCTCACATTAAATGCTACAAGAACAGAAATGATTTGAATCTGCTATGTCAGCCCTAGTTTGCACAAATCACAATTTATTGTGCTAGAGATGCACAGTTCTCCCAATTTGCTCAGATATTCTGAGCACTTCTGCAGGAGTGCTCCCCACCACCGTCCACCACTGCTTGGCTTTCAGCCATCAGGATGGAAAGTGGTCACAAGTCTGGCAATCTGATACAGAATGGACTTCTAGTCTTGCTCATTCCTAAATGAGACTAGTTGAGAAATATGTGACAGAAATTAGCAGCACAGACAGAAAAATCCTTCCACTGACTGGCATAGAAGGGGTTTCTAGCCAGTCCTGTTATGGATTAATATAGTGAGGGCAATTAAATTCTTACTCATGCAATTCAAGTTACCATGATTCAATATTCTGACATACTGAATTGTGAATGTAATTCTAGGCTCAGCTTTTCAGGAAACTGAATTTGTTTACCAGCAAAGCACTAGCCCATTCATACCTCCAACAGGAAAGGGGAGGAAGGATTTGGAAAATGCCAGATGTCAAGGAAGACTGACTCCAATTCACAGTGGAGCAAATGGACTTCCAAAATGGTGCCATCTGACCATATTTTTAAAAATGCATGTTCTCCATTAATTCTGACTCAGTCACAAAGAAACAAATAGGTAATGGTAAATATTTAACAGATTTATCATAAGTTTTCAAAAAATAACAAAATGAAATCAGGTAAAGCTATGCATGTTTGACAGACAGAGGAGTATTATAAGTGACAACTGGCTTTCCACTGCCAAATCTGGAGGAGCAACTTAGCTGTAATGCATGTTGGGGAAATGACTCTGTAGTAGGGACAAACACATTCCCAAAAGTGATGGAACTTTTTAAAATCATCTCAAAGGACAGAACTTGTTCAAATATTGCAATAGGAAAATAGCCTTACATGTAAAGAAATGTACATAACAATCAACCCACAAATTGCAAAAAGGGGAGTGGGAGCAAATGCGTGCATTGCATCTAGCACATGCATTGCTTCTGCTTTCAGCAGCAACCCATATACTCTGGTGGTTGAGGGGTTAAACAACCCAGGGTCAACCTCGATCTGATGATCTCTGACAGCCTACTGAACCTCTGTTGTTAGCCTGAAAGTCACCATTCTTTAAAGGAGACCCCAGCATGCAATTACTAAACTAGAATCAATTAGTGCTTAATTCTACTTGCTGAAGACACAATGCAGCCCAAGATTGCTCTCTCACAATAGATGTTGAATTGGGAGTACCAAATCTAGGAAAAAATCAAGCCTCAGAATTTAGTAGTGAGTAATCTGCTCACTCCACAAGTTTCAGTCGTTCCTGCTAATGGTATTAAGTGATTGTTGCACTATTATATCATTATTATTACTTCACTGGGACTGTATTATCATCTGTTGCTGGTAATGTATGTAGTAACTGTATTTACCTTGCATATATTGGAGTTATATTGAGAAATGTCCAACACTGCACCTTGTGCATTTCATGGCCTTTTGTTTACAGGTTTTTCTCTCTATGCTGTGTCTATATATTATATAACAATGTGCCCAAGGAGGATTACATGTTATGCATTTGTTGAAGTGAGGTTGTACACAATAAATCTGTTTTTTTCTTTAAATCGCCACAAGACTGTTTTTAATGGGAAAGATGGTTAGTTAACTCACTGAAAGTTATGAAAATCAGAAACTTTGGACTTGGAAGAAAGATTGTCCGAAATTCAGTAGTAAAGTTGTACACATGGAATTCAGGTCTTGAAGCTGTAATCTTAAAGCTGTAATATTCTTTAAAACTGACAGTGTTAAACCCTCCAGGGGTGGGGGAAGAAGAAATGTTAAGGCAGATTTCTTATTATTTAGTGGAAATAATGGCATATTTGAATCCACAGTGGAGAAGCTGTGTGTCACCAGTACAAATATAACTGCTGTGCAATATTGCTGTGCAATATTATGTGTTAAAAGCATTTCCACACCCTCACTATCAACATGGAGCAAGCAACAGTGTTTTCATAAAAGGGTTGCTTTGCTTTTCTCCCTTCCCATGTGTGTCATTTAAGCAAGAGATTTGTGAGTTCACTGAACATCTACTAAGTATCCATACCCACTCCCCCAAGACCACAGGGCTCACACTTTGAGAACCATGTCACAGGAGAATTGACATATTCAAAATATTGATGTAGAAAAACCCAACAAAAGAAGTGCTAAACTACAAGGGACAGGAGTATCTAGGTGTCTTGTTTTGTTTTTCTTTCTAGTTAATGTAAGAACAAAAACAAGTAGGGCAATGAGACTGTGAGACCACAAGGGGGAAAATTACAGTAAGAGAGCAC